GGGTTTTCTTTTTCTCCTAATATCATCAATAGCTTGAGAACTCAGCCTTTATTTGGGCTCTATCTATATGATGAATATTTTATTTCTTACTCAAAAGACAGAGATGATGTCTCTCAGTTAATAGTCTGGTAATGGACTTGATATACAGTGGGTATAGTAAATGACCACCCCCCTTTAAAATGATCACATTTTGTTGCTTTGTAGCCTGAAATAAAAAGACAGCCATTTTTTTGTTTAATCCAGCTGTATTTACTCAGTGCAGCTTATAACATCCAAGTGAAAGATATAACACCAACATTTAAAAAATACAAATAAAACAACAGAATCACTGAGTTGGAAAAAAGATAAGCCCCTTGTGTCAGTATTTTGTTTAAGCACCTTTTGCTTTAATTACAGCCTTTAGTCTGCTGGGATTTGTCTCTACTAACTTTACACATCTAGACTTTGCAATATTTGCCCACTCTTCTTTGCAGAACTGCTCAAGTTCAGTTCAGTTTGATGGTGAGCATTTGTGGACTGCAGTCTTCAAGTCATTCCACAGATTTTCAGTGGGGTTTAGGTCTGCTCTGACGAGGCCATGCAAGGACATTCACCTTCTTCTCCTTCAACCACTGTGTGAAGGAGCTGTGTGCTTTGGGTCATTGTCATGTTGGAAGGTAAACCTTCTTTCTTATAATTAGCATTATAATGTAAACCAGAGCAATAATGAATGCAAATAATCTTCTTTATGAATGACTGATGATAGTATTTTTGCCTCTCATCAGACATGCAGAAGACTCAGAGAGGCTGTTGTGCTCAGACCATTTAGTTAGTCTAAAGTGAATAAATTCTATGTCTTCCACAAGGAGCCAGTGGAAATTTCCTCTGTTTGTCTTGTAATTAACTAGCACAAGTACTAGAATCTGGACATCTATTCTCATTAAAGGGTTTATTTATAAAGTGTTGAACTCAGTGAACTCATGAACATGGGCTGTGTGTCACCGTGACATGCTGGAAGACTCGTAGAGCTTGTTTCCAAAGGACTTTTCCCACACCTACATGACATTTAGCACCCAAACGGGCTTGCGGGAATATTCGTGAATCATATTCCTCGTTCTTTCCTCTCTCACTTGCAAAAGAGTAACATCTTTAAAACAAAAACCATGCCAAATTTGAACCATCATACACTGATATTAAATAATATATTTAATATATATTTACAATACATTTGTATTAAATGAGGCATTATCTATTTCTATACAAATGCAGGATGTGTCCAGACTTTTAACTGGTGTATTATTCATGAGCCCTTCAATCAATTTCAAGTAGCATCGACTCACACCACATCCCGCCCCCCAATACAGGTATCACGGAAGTGACGTCACGGAGCACGGAAAGGGGGGATGAAGCGTTTCAGAGGGCAAGATGGCAGCAAAATCCGATGGCGTGGGGGTCGTTACCGGTTTCGCCCAGCTGCACAACCTGGACGAGGTGCTCGGCGACGAGGATGCGCTGGACAGCGCGGCCATACACATCTGCCGCTGCTGCAACTCGTCGTCGTGCTACTGGGGCTGCAGGAGCGCGTGTCTGCAGTCGCTGCTGGGCGACAGGGATGCTGGAGGATGGGGGCGGCCGCAGCATCAGCACCAGCCGGAGGAGCGCCTGTGGCTGGACTGCCTCTGGATCGTCCTCGCACTGCTCGTCCTCTTCTGGGACGTCGGCACGGACTTGTGGCTGGCCTTGGACTACTACTCCAAACGGGACTATCTGTGGTTCGGGCTCACGCTGTTCTTCGTGCTGGTGCCGTCGGTGCTGGTCCAGATTCTAAGCTTCAGGTGGTTCGTCCAGGATTACACGGGCGGTGGTCTCGGGGCCATGGAGGGGCTCAGCCGAAAAGCCACGGCGGATCTGAGCTCGCGCATCTACGGCAGGGACAGGTGCTGTGTGGTCTACATTTGGATCTGGCATGCTTGTGTGCACATCCTTCAGATGGGACAAGTGTGGAGGTAAGACGCGGAATGTCACATTAGGAGGATGCACATGATGTGCTTGTTTTGAATCCAGATGTATTGCACATTGAACATGTACACATAAACATGCGATTGCATGCAGATGCATCATATAATTTCTTCTCTATCCGTCAAGCCAAGCATTCTAGCTCAGTTGAAACACTGTGTTTTCTTCCTCTTGCTTTATGGCTCGTTCAGTGTCCTCCTCTAACCATCTGTGTAACGACGCCAAACAGTTCATTTCAGCAGAATGACGGGCTCACTTCGGGCTGGAGAGTGTGAAATCGATAGAGCTTGTAATTAATTTACTTCAATGACCTCTGCAAGAGGAAAACAAACCTCAGTCTGGTTGGGTTGGTTTTACTGCATCCAGCTTGGGCTTGATCTTGTAGGATGTTGCTCTCACTTTCAGTCTTGTCTTCAGGATGATGTCAATATTTTAGCCTTCAAAGGTCATATTTCATGCTGATTGAGAAGCATGTGTGTTCTGGTGAGGGGTTGCACTGATGTGTCTCATCTGTTGAGAGGTTGTTTTTCAGCTCTCAAGTTGAATATGAGCAGGTTAGCTTGTAACAAGGCTTGGCATCACCAGGATTTGCATTCAGATGCTTTTATCCAAGTGCAGAATAAGAAACCTGCCATCAAGACACAGCATGAGGAGGGGCGGATATTTTATGTTTTGTAAACATATATTGGAACATTATTTAAATTTTAATGTAAGACTTGTCTGATTATCTGAAAATAATTAAATACAGATTATTTTTTTCGTAAATTGTATTTGAGTAAATCTCACAAAAACATGATTTGCATAAAGATAAACTTATTTTAGTATTATTACATATTTTTGTTTTGCATTTTGATGTTATATATAATCTTACATTTTTCTTACTCCAATATGATAATTTTTCATTACAGTCAATATAAAATAAATAAAATAAAACATGATGTATAATTATTTGACAGTTTTACTAATATATTCTAGTTATTCTGCATTAAATGAATGAGAATTAAATTATTGTGGGATTTTGAGGAGGTAAAATGTGCTTAATTTACATGAAATTAATATCAGAATGTTGTTGTTGTTGTTGTTGTTGTTGTTGTTGTTGTTGTTGTTGATAATTAAATACAGATTATTTTTTTCGTAAATTGTATTTGAGTAAATCTCACAAAAACATGATTTGCATAAAGATAAACTTATTTTAGTATTATTACATATTTTTGTTTTGCATTTTGATGTTATATATAATCTTACATTTTTCTTACTCCAATATGATAATTTTTCATTACAGTCAATATAAAATAAATAAAATAAAACATGATGTATAATTATTTGACAGTTTTACTAATATATTCTAGTTATTCTGCATTAAATGAATGAGAATTAAATTATTGTGGGATTTTGAGGAGGTAAAATGTGCTTAATTTACATGAAATTAATATCAGAATGTTGTTGTTGTTGTTGTTGTTGTTGTTGTTGTTGTTGTTGTTGTTGTTGTTGTTGTTGTTGTTGTTGTTGTTGTTGTTGTTGTTGTTGTTGTTGTTGTTGTTGTTGTTGTTGTTGTTGTTGTTGTTGTTGTTGTTGTTGTTGTTGTTGTTGTTGTTGTTGTTGTTGTTGTTGTTGTTGTTGTTGTTGTTGTTGTTGTTGTTGTTTAATATCAGTAATATCAGAATGTTGTTGTTGTTGTTGTTGTTGTTGTTGTTGTTGTTGTTGTTGTTGTTGTTGTTGTTGATAATAATCATAATAATAATAATAATAAGACTTATTTAATTAGACTTTATTTTGTTTTAGAAAAAATATTTTAATATGTTTTAGGAGAATTTACGATTTTACAAGTTTATAAAATGTATAAAATTGTAAATGTTATAAATTCTTGTTATTTTCTGCATTTAAAATAATTATTCTGGGGGTAAAATGTACTTAATTGTCACTAAATAACAACAACAACAACAACTATATATATATATATATATATATGTTTTTTTTTTTTTTTTCATTTTTTTGAAATGTGCAGCAAACATGTTGTTGACTGATTTTGTGCAATTCATCTCATTTCCTTTTGCTTTATTTACTGCCATAGTTTAGTCTGTTGGTGAAATGGTACAGAATAACTCATATGAAGTTATATGTCATATGAAGTGGAACATTCTTTTAAAATAGCATTTTCATAGAAATAATTCGATTAATGAAGGATTCCAGGCTGCATGATTTTCAGTCAACCCAGTTATCAGATTACAGCATTTCCAAGTAGTAAATCACAGTTTTGTGCTCCATTCTGTTCAGAATATACAAACGCCTGTGATTAGCTCCATACAGTGTTTCGTGAGAGCGTCCAGTGATATGTAAGAATAGCTTGTTGTTGATGTTTGGCTTCATCAGCGGGGCGACAGGAGATGTAGTCAGTGTCTGCAGGCCTGAATAAGACAATTAGTTGACTGTCACGCCGGTTAAGATCATCTGTCGGGCTCAGGGGTGACCAGAAGCTGACAGGCGCAGGCAGAGAATTTGATCCCCGTCGGCGGCGCTCATACTCTCTGGATGCACAGATGCTTCCCTTGGCAGAGATCTAACACTGATGAGGGCTGATTGCGGTGTTCAGAGTGTAAGACCCCAGCTTGACTCTG